CTCATGTAATAAGTATCCACTCAAACAAAACAATAGGCTCTTGTTTTGTATGGATAAACAAGAAAAATTCCTTGTTTTGTTTTAGCTGACCCAAACAATCAAAAACAAACTAAATAATTGTTTTGTCTGTGCAATGCCCTGGAATGGGACTCATCGTGGCTTGTAATGTTCTCAATTTTTTAGAGCTTAATGTAATTTCCTTTATATATAGCGCAATACGAAGATATCCAGACGTAATCGAGAGCAAGTTCGGAGCAGTTTCTAATCATTCGGTTGACAAGGACGATGTTGATTGAACTTTAAAAAGGCCATGGTCTACCTTCAAATGGTACGCTCTTATACGATTGGTAACCCATACCATACATAGGTACCCAAGTAACAGCTACGAAAAAATTGCAAAATTAAGAGATGCATAAAGTTCAAACTCTCCAGTTTACTCTCAGTATAATGCTTATTTTCTAAAGTAAATTTGATTATCCCAATGACAGGTGATGTACTCACGATTTAAATTCACCCTCGCTCCATTTTACCAACTTCATGCAGGTGTTATCCCTTTTATAAATTGCCTACCCAGTTCACCACTTTCTTCCAACTTCTCTCTTCCAAATCTATTAAACATCAACCACTACCGCAGGTACCTAAAACTCATTGATGACAAAAACAGAGCATAGGCTATGAGCCTGTCGACCGGAAAGATCTTGATACAGATCTCAGAAGCAGTAAGGATGACGTTAATAAGGCCTATGTAAAGGCCCCACGTTTCGCGCGTGAGCCTGTCAGGCGTCAAAGCCGAAATGTGCCGTCGACTAGAGACGGATGGAGAAGACCAGACGCAGGTTCGATATCCGAGACGACTGCATGGGTGCGCTTCGCAGACCAGCGGTCCGAAAAAGGAAGGCTGGAGACATTGAAGAAATTAGGAGGCATCGAAACCAGTTGACAAGGCTGATAGGGTGATCCCCCCCGGTTTGTTTTTGCGGGAATCTCTCGGAGACGCTCGAGCGACTAGACTACTTTGCGGCCAGCAACTAGAGTTGGTTCCCATAGCCCTTGATGACAACTCGGAGGAATGGGCAATGGAAATGCCGAACCATAAAGGGGTCCGCATAACAACCAGCGTGTACACCCAAAGGAATGACTTGGTACACAGGCATTTAGCTGAGGTAGCCAAGGCAGTAAACCTTTTCTCCCTGGCTAAACAAAACGGTATTTCAAAGTCTTTAAACTGGATGAGGACACTTACGAACTACCAACTTACGAGGCATGGCTTGTCAATAAGTGTCACAAGGCGGAACTAAAGGCTAAGGAATAACGACGGTGTTACGCGAAGAGCTCTAACTACTCCCTTCCAAAGGATGCGGTATACATACATAGAGCTTCCTTCGTCTACAGCCAAAGGGCTAACTGCCAACGGGGCAGCCTCGTGCAAGTCGACTCCCCATCCGTCTGGGTTACTAGTTAACCCTGGCGAGACCTCTGGCTACTAGCTCTCACAGAGGAGGCTTCTGACAATAAGAACGGCAGGGTGACCCGACTTCGACAACCGCAAAGGACGAGAAAGGGAAAACGAAGAGATATAGTATGAGCAAAAGGGTGGAGGATTCTCCGTCGCCAGTACCAGAGCAGGGGAGACAGAGCGACGATGATGGTGATGCTGGAGATGATGGATATAACGAAGATGATGACGGTGATTACATCACTGTCCCCGAGTCGATGTTCTACCATAGAGTCTGGTCTATTGGAAAACTAGTGGTTGGGGGTTTAGCAGACCTCGCGAATAGATTCAGCACCAGGCAGGAGGCTTATGGTATGTATAAATTTCTGTATGAATGGGCAACGATGGTTTAAGGCATGGGCCAACTTTTGTTAATGAGAATTGGTATCCGAGGTTTAGGTTCTTCTTAGAATGGACTGAGATATTGGATTAGGGAATAGCAGGGAGTTTAGATTCAACTCCTATCAGGCCTGTCGGTGCCTTTCTTTTATTCCCCCTATCTTTGCAGAAGATATGTTACATAATAGGTGGAACTGGTAGGAGTTTAGGGTGAAGTTTGTGTATCAAAAGTGATTGTTTCTCTGTCACTTGAACCTACTAGGCAGTGAAGAACGGTCTTTCGAAATATTTTCTTTCCAAAAAGAATCTTAGAGCCATAGCTCATTACAGGTATGTGTGAGATATCAGCTATGACTTGTAGACGTGAACTGAGCTTGATCTTGGATATAATATTTAGGCCTGAAGGCAGATGGTATAATAGACTTACGCCTGGCTCTTGATATCGAATTTTATCTCAGTACATCTGAGTGTAGGTATCTTGCTTTTGATGTAACGAGCAACGGAACTCCGAGGTGCTCTTTAGGAAAGATAATTAGCTTAGGTAATATACAATGTGGATATACGTTATCACGTGATTCTAATCTGCACCGCCCCATGTGTCACTTGGACCTCCCTGCGCTAGCCTGAATCACTGATGCGCTAAAGTGGCTGCTGTCGGGGCTCTTTACACGGGGCAGTCAATGGTGATTCAATCCATTTCCAAGCCCTGATAACAGATAGGAGTAGCTACCAGTGAATGTACCTAGGTACCTTCCATTGCAGTTTCAAGGTTATCATAGCACCAGCCCGACCGCTTGCTTTAAAGTACAGAGGTAGGCACGGTACTTAATTCCCCCCATTCACAACTCCACCACTTAGGTATATTCGATCGCCTGCATCTCTGCATCTACAAGACAAACCCAAAATCTTTCCAGACAACCGAAACCGTGACAACGAGGAAGCCCTGAGAGGATCTCGTTGAACTTCCGCCGACCTTCAGTCATTGTGACAACAGCGCCGCCCTCAACCTTTGTGGTTGCCTTGCATACAAACCTTACGCCGCCTACCATCTAACACCGTTTTCTCTTCTGTCACGCCTCTACGAATTTCATAAGACTACATCTCAACTACAAACCTCATCGCCCAACATGGCCAACGACGAATACGATGTAAGCCCTACCCCTCGGACCATAGAATTGTTTCTGGTGCATTTAACTGACTGCTGATTATCGTAGTTTCTCTTCAAAGGTACTCCCGCCACTCGCTAGCTACCTAAGCTTCGAAACACAATTACTGACGATATGGAATTGCAGTGGTGTTGATTGGAGACTCGGGCGTTGGAAAGTCCAACCTTCTCAGTCGATTCACCCGGAACGAGTTCAACCTAGACTCTAAGTCGACGATTGGTGTCGAATTCGCGACCAGGTCCATCCAGGTCGATTCCAAGACCATCAAAGCGCAAATTTGGGATACTGCAGGTCAGGAAAGATATCGCGCCATCACCTCTGCGTACTACCGAGGGGCTGTCGGTGCGCTACTCGTCTACGACATCAGTAAACACCAGACCTACGAGAACGTCACAAGATGGCTTAAGGAGCTCCGGGACCACGCCGATGCCAACATCGTCATTATGTTGGTCGGAAACAAGAGCGATTTACGGCATCTGCGAGCTGTTCCCACAGAGGAGGCCAAATCCTTTGCGAGTACGTGCTATGTACAATCCATGAAGACATTCCAGGTTGCTAACAAAGGACCCTTTAGGCGAAAACCACCTCTCTTTCATAGAAACTTCAGCTCTCGATGCCAGCAACGTCGAGCTTGCCTTCCAGAATATCCTTACCGGTACGTGTCCATTTGACAATACTAAGCTTACTCAAGCGCTACTCAAGGCAGCCAAATTCTAACCCCGCCCTTTCATCTAGAAATCTACCGCATCGTTTCGAGCAAGGCCCTAGATAGCGGCGAGGGTTCCCAAGCCCCAATGGCAGGCACCAACATTTCGTTGAGCAAGTCCCCCGACGATGCCGCGAAGCAGGGTGGAAAGTGCTGTTAGTTCAACGCATGCGTTGCGGGATGATGAGACGGTTATACGGCTGGTATGATGTTACGTATATGGCGTCACATAATGTCCGGAACGAACACTCTGCGGAAGAGTGATGCGTCATGGGGTTCGGAATATTGACCTTGCACGGGACATGGCTCTCTTCCTTTTTATTTCTCTGCGTTTCATTGATGTTTGTGGCCTTTCTCTGAAATCTGACAGCTGGAGGCTACTGGCATATCTAATCTAACAACACCCGACGTAGTTGCTGAATGCTATCTTTTTTTTGCCTGCATATGCCGCTGAGGTCACTGTGATCTCTAGATTTGGTAATAATCAACGTGGCTCGTTCTACCGACAGTTACGCCTAGAATCAATCACATGTGTTGAGATTATAGTCGTAAGTAAGCGGTCTTCTGCCTCCTTTTACGCAGTGAGTGGCCGTTTACTCGAAGCGGATTCATCGTGTCTTACATCAGATCCTTCCAGGCGATCGGTTGGCACCTTGGCGACCTTCAATGGATACCGACATATTAAAGTACATACCTACGTAGACACCACGATTCACGAAGTACATCTGTGCATTGTACCTTCATAAATTGCATAAGAACCTTGAAATGCTGGATACAGGGATTTAGATGCTTAAGGTACCCAGTTATTTGTTTAAACTTTTGCCTGAGCCCCACCAACGATAATATCCATTATCGATAAGCTTGTCAGAGAAAAAGTTCACTTTGCGACCTCAATCGCAATCTTGAATTGCTTCAATTAATTTTCTGGACCTTGAGTACTATCGACACACAATGGCTGCCGTGTACAAGTCCCTATCAAAGGGGTCTAACGGCCAGAAGGCCGAGGCACCTGCTAATGGCGTCCGAAAGAATAAGCAAAGAGTCTTGATATTGTCGTCTAGAGGCGTAACCTACAGGTATTATCGAATTCGCCAACCCGAGAAGACCTGCGCATAGTATCTAACAATCATTGCCTATAGACATAGACATTTGCTCAATGACCTTGCGGCGATGCTTCCCCATGGCCGGAAGGACGCGAAGTTCGACTCGAAATCGAAGCTTTTCCAACTCAACGAGCTCGCCGAGCTTTACAACTGCAACAATGTCCTGTTCTTCGAGGCGCGTAAGGGTCAGGACTTATACGTCTGGCTCGGCAAGGTTCCCAATGGACCGACGGTTAAGATGCACCTACAGAACTTACACACAATGGAAGGTTAGTTCGCCTATCCATCATCCGATTTTGCTCGGGTTGGTGAGGGCGCAGTTGGGGCGATTACTGACTTTTTCTCAGAATTACACTTCACGGGCAATTGCCTGAAAGGATCAAGACCTATTCTGTCCTTCGATGCCGCGTTCGACCAGGAGCCCTATTTGCAAGTCATCAAGGAACTTTTCCTCCATACCTTCGGTGTACCTCAAGGCGCAAGGAAGTCCAAACCCTTCATAGATCACGTCATGGGATTCACCTTCGCGGATGGGAAGATATGGGTACGGTGTTATCAGATCAATGAGTCGGAGCCCTCCAAGGCGAAGGGCGAGGGTAATGAAGCGGAGGTTGAATCGAAGTCCAAGGGCCGCAACAAGGAACTCGACATTAGCCTGGTTGAGATCGGACCGCGATTCGTTCTAACGCCTATCGTCATACAAGAAGGATCTTTTGGCGGACCGATCATTTACGAGAATAAGGAATTCGTCTCACCGAACCAGGTCAGAGCTGATTTACGGAGGAGAACGGCTACGAAGCATAATGCCCGAGCCGAGCAATACGCGGAGAGGCTCGCGAAGGTTGGCGATCTGGGCTTACGGACGACTGGTGGGAAACGGGCGCCGGTAGATGCGCTGGACACGAAAGAGCTGTTCGCTTGAGTAGTATCTCCCGCTATCTAGATTGGCGTTCTGGCGTTTTCGATGACACCCAGGTATTTGTAAAGTTCTCCAGCAGAGGTACTATCCATACATTGAGTTACACTTCACAATTGATTCATGACCAACATGTGCTTATATATATATTCGTAGTCCATATGACTGTTATGCACATAGGTATGTGATATTGCAGTATAATTACGGTATAACGGGTCATTATACATACATGTACATGTATCTTCGACCTTGATATGAATTCCAGGTAGCTACCTAGCTTTGAATTGAAGTAAGATTGATCCTCCTAGAATTTTTATAGTTCAATTGATTGAAGCAAAACCATGCACTGCTTCATGTTTGATAAAGTGAGCATGTGTGTATATAGTGCTTAGGTACTACATCCTTAGTACATACATATATAGGTATACGTGCATAATTATGTACTTACAAAGTCCACACTCCGGTCCAGATAGGGTATCTGCAGTTGGCGCTAGGTGCGATATTAATCCGAAATTAACGTCCAAGCTCCGAGGTCCCCTGAGTAGAAGGGGTACGTATCGTACAAGACGCCTAACTCGACGCGCCTCGAAACTTACTTCTTTTCTTTTTGGTCAAGCGACAACATGACACTACTTTATGGCGAGTCCGCCTCTATGGCGAGTAAACTCCAGCAGCATGCAATACGGCTGCGAATATCCTTTACCCAGTATAGCCCCAAAGGAGGGGTTGTCGCAGATTGAGTCCAGTAACTCTCTGCCCCTGGGTCGACTAAGGGGTGTTAGTCGGTGGTAGACACGGAGTCCCATCGACATTTCAGTATCAGGTTGGCTGAAAAGCCATATGAACTCAACCTCTGGGTGTGAGAAGTGAACAACATATAGTTCAAGGAAGTCAATTGAGACACGTGCTATAACATCACGCGTGAACTACATGGGTAGTTCTTTTCTTACCAAGCAGAGCAAAGCTTCTAAGATCGACGGACGCGTTGTCTTTGCTGGTGGTTACAATTCAACAAGAGGGGGTTATTTCGATTAGCGGCTACTCAAAGAAGCATCTTGCCAACAACTTGGTTCAGGGTAAGGTATACTCATAATCTACATTTATGTACATCAACTAATCTATGACCATCAAAGGTTGTTAACATCCGAAGCTGGTGTCTTATCTAGTTGCTTAGGCAAGGAGATAAATTCTACCACAGCTCATTCCAAGTGAGCTGGCCGGATACCTATCAGGAATAAATAGTCGTCCCTTTAAGAAGACTCCTCGCCAGACTTAGGATCGTGAGCTTCTTAGGGGACCTGGGATTTCCTTAGAACTCTGTGAAGCCATCGTTGAACTCCGCTGTGCCGTCAACTTCTAACTCAAACATCGCATATCATCACTCCCCTCGTCTGCTTATTGTATTTGATCTTGGGGCTTGCAAACTTTTGCATACCTAAACTTTTCCACTTCCCTCTCTCTCAAAAAAAAAACATCTCTTCACCTACTCCTTCTCACCCACATCCTCTCAACCTTTCCCCTCGTACGCTACCCACATCGCTCTTTTCTCTGCTTTGCCTGTGAAAAGCAACCCCAGAGCTCATTCTTTTTGATCCCTACAATCTTCATCAAGCTTGGTTTCATATCAGCAAATTCTTCAGTTGTGGCAGTATCTCCAAGGTTCCTTGGCGGTTTCCGATAATAGTACCCGCCATCGCGAGCCTGCAACACTCGATACTCGTCACTGACCTAGGCCCGCTGATTCTTCGAAGCAAGCCATCCATCGCTGGAGACTCCTTTACAAGTTTGTTGAAGATAAACTGTTGTGTTCGTCAACAGTAACCCACCACTCGCCTCAATTTCTGCAAAGGCCCCTCGACTGGCCTGAAGATTTACTCTACCGTAATCCGACCCTATTCACTGCTCCATACCCCTTGAAGCTAACCGTCAGTCCTTACTCGGACAGTTATTAAGTATATGTGAAGTCGTTACGCATTATATTTTTGTTCACCATGTCTTCCGCCAATGCCTCGTCTGCCGTCGCAGACGAAGCTTACATTCTGAACATACCCCTCGATGTCCTTCTCAAGATCATGGAGCAAATGGCACCCACTGATCTTTCGAACTTTGCTCTCTCATGCAAGACAATCTATGCGACTTTTGAGAAACACAAGCACGTTCTCATGGTAAACGTTCTCCGAGGTTTGCCCGAGTTCGACACTATGCTCTATCTCTTCACTGCTCATCAGGAGGAACTACATCCTGATCGTATGCTCCGCCCGCGTATCATTGATTACGAGGCTGGATCAGGTATGGTGAACTTGATGCACGCGGACGTCGATCCGAACTCAACTGTTGTTCCGTGCTCTACCACCGGGGCTCGTTACCTCATGCCCGGCGAAGTTCCGAAGTTCACTTTCAAGCTCCCAGATGTCATGGCATTGTGGAACATGGCGAGAGTGATTGACTGGTGGGTCGAGCTGTACCCTCGACTCCGCTGGCGAGAGGCTCATCTGAACCGCCGTTGCTTGCGAGGTAGCGAGGAAGTCCGACTGAGAAAGGCAGTTGCGCATTGGTGGCTGTATGCCCATTACCACCATGGATTCACGTACAACTATCGCAATTACCAGCAGCCCAAGCGATGGTCGGACGACACGAGACTTCAGCAGATTCGAACCATGTCTACTGATGAGATCTGCGAGTTGAGAGACTTTTGGGATGTGGTAAAATCCACAGTGAGCATGGATCTCTGCTCGTCTCCCGAACGTGTTTGTGTGTGTAAGGTACGTCTCATTCCTAAAGCCTAACAAAACTTCGAAATCGTTTACTAATTGATTTGTAGGGTACCAATGGAGTGGAACTTGTCCCTTGGGGAGAGCATGAACCTCGACACCAGAAGATTGTCGACACCTACTCGAAGTTGGGTCCGGAGCAACTCAAGTACTACCTGATCTACTATTCGAACTGGAAGAGGGCTGAAACCGCCAGCACAATATCTCGTTGTTCGCGTGAGTTCAATCGTGACACCGAGACCTTGTCCGTGTCCATCCAGAAGGTGATCGGTGAGCGTACCGCCATCTACGGAATCGACGACCTGCGAGACACGCCAGATTTCGGAATTCTGGATGGGTCCGGAATGGATCCTCTACGCGCTTACCTCTGGAAGGATGACGCCTGGTCAAACGGAAAGGTGCCTCTAACCCAAATCCAGATCGATGCTTTTCCACGCGACCCGTCTGCATTAGTCGCACGAGGAGACGACGGCACCGACGCGTGCTGTCCGTACTAGTATCGCGGTAAGCCTCATCGTTGCGTGCGGTGTCACAAGAAGGTCATCATGTCTCGAGGTGCGCGTGTCCCTTGTCGGATCTATCATCCGAGCTCTCCCTTCGCTCGTTCTTAAGTCACCATCAGACACCAGCTATCGAACTATTCGACGAATAGGTTCGAACTAGTAGTGGTGTAAGAGCTCATTGGCATATTCGCAAAATCAGTTGGGCGGCCCTAAGTTTTCCTCGTTTGGGATCGCTACGATGCATCAACAAGAGCACAAAACATCCACGTTTACTTCTCTCCGTTCAAGATCTTTGCCCCGAAGATTTTCAGTCGTCGAACCAGAGTTGCAAAAACATTGTTTGGGGTCTATACCGAGGGTTTGCTAGTTATGGCACGGAGAACGACTGCATCCATGCTGGTGTCTTTTACCCTCGGTATATCGTTTGTTTCCTACGGAATTCATGAAGGCTTTTCTTTGGGCCTACTTTCTTTTTCTTTTTCTTTTTTTTCTTTTCTGAGTCGAGGCTGGCGTGGCAAGGTCTGGAGACAATCGACCCTTGGGAGGTATATATATATACTTGGCTGGATGACAACGGCACCCGCGTTGTCTATAACCTTCTCCAGCTCTCTCCCAAGCATCTCCTTAGGAACCGTCACAATTTGCAGTCCAGTTTTTTCATTGTCATAACTTTCCTTAGCATGCCACTTGGGGTATGCTGAGGCTAGGTAGTTAGGTACACTTCACTTCCTTAATAATCGATTTCCACTTCCCCCAATAATGCAAATTACCTACTTACGTATAATGCATGATCGTGATATATGTTGCTAGTTCTATCCACTACTTCTGGATGTTCTCTTTTACGGTAGCTACCATTGGTTTACATGGGTTTACATAATGAAATTGTCCACATCCACGATTTGGTACGAGCAATTACTAAATGTAATTTTGCGTTGGATACCTATGTATCCTACAAATTTTTAAGATTGTAATAAACGATATAAATATAGACTCTTAACTTAGGATTAAATTTCGAACTTGTATCCTATATTTGTAGCGTAGTACCTACCTAAATTCCCGACGTAGGTACATGTAGGTAACCCCTAGAAACGTCTGTTTTGATAGGACGGGGTTATCCGGGTCCGATACGCCGCGCCCCCAGCGTCAACTTAAACTCGCTAAAAAGAATACTTACTGACCTAGGCAAGTTTACATAACATCCATCCACCCATACCTACAGCAGAAGCGCTCGTTATTTACTACGCGCCGCACTAGATGCGCTTCTGTCTCCCGAACGGTTATTAGATATTACTTACGATTCTTGAAGAGGAATCTTAATTACTAGTATTGCTTATCAGCCCGCTTGAGAAACGGACCATCTTCACTCCTCGAACCGGGGGGCTGGGTTCGCGTGATCGTTGAGCCACCAAGTTATTACTTGTAAGTATGCCGGTCTGCTATCGCCATTTCTGGTCCTTTCCTCCCATTCTAGAAAAACTAGAAACAAATTAAAAACAGCATAAATATCATGCATTGAGACCCGACGACGCTTGATAAATTAACAATCCACTCCTTGAGTCTATCACGGTTGCTGTCAAGTTTATCAAGCTAGTCGACTCAAGTCGTTGTTCTATATGAGCCTGAGGACGAGAGCATATAGTTAATGCCATAGGCTTACCCTTTTTATAAGTGTGGCTAACATCGACTTTACCCTTGCCAACTTGCTTTTTTCATAGCTGTATATGTACCTTGCTTTCTGGTTAACAAACTACTAGATCATCCCACCATCAACGTCTTCTTCCCCTGAGATCTCACTAACGGCATCTCACAAGAAGCTGTGGGTATGCGAATCGTCCACATTTTCAAGGCAGTTAGATCGCCGCGTGCTCACTGGGCCTAAGCTAGACTGCATCAATTAGCGAATGCGCTGTTCACAGCTCAACGCTGGCCAGTGTCAAAGGTGCTACAGGTGAAAAATCCAGCGATCAGCCAGTACAGAGTAAAGGTGTTTTCGATCTCTAGCACCCGTCCAACTTAGAAGAAAGGGGGCCTCAAATTCGACCATCACCTGAACATCATGGAGGGCGAGGACCAAGCTATGACGGACGCGCCTAATGGCCTCGATGAGTCCCACGCTGTTCCCGTCCCTGAACAAGAAGCCGCCGATACGTCAGTTAGCAATGGCATGAATGTCGATACGAATGAGAGCGATAGTTCTGAAGGGTCTATTGATACTGAAGATCTAATCAGATCTATGCGGCGACGGGGATTATTACCTACCGGCTGCTGTTACGATGACAGGATGAAGCTTCACGCGAACGCAGACTTTGGTCCCTCGCCCCACCACCCGGAAGACCCTAGACGGATTGAAGAAATCATGAAGATTTTCAAGAAAGGCGGTCTCGTTTTTACGGGCCCTGACTCTAAGCTTCTTGATATCCTTAAAGACAACCCCACGAAGTACATGTGGAGGATCCCAGCTCGCCCGGCAACGAAACAGGAGATCTGCACGGTACATACCCCAAGACATTATGATTGGGTCCAGAATCTGTCGGAGATGTCCACTAGAGACCTACGGGTCCTTAGCCACAGTCTGGACCAAGGTAGAGCCTCTCTTTATGTAGGTGGTATGTCATACGAGGCTGCATTGCTTGCAGCGGGAGGTGCCGTCGAAACATGCAAAAATGTCGCCGCCGGCAAGGTCAAGAATGCTTTTGCCATTATCCGGCCACCTGGACATCACGCAGAATTCGATACGCCTATGGGATTCTGTTTATTCAACAACGTCCCTATCGGTGCCAAGGTCTGCCAGAACGAATACCCGGATACTTGTCGCAAGATTCTCATCCTAGATTGGGATGTTCATCATGGGAACGGCGTGCAGAACATGTTTTACGAGGATCCAAATATCCTCTACATATCTCTTCACGTGTATGCCAACGGCGATTTCTACCCAGGAAAACCAGACAACCCTATGATTCCAGATGGGGACATAGACAAAGTTGGCGAAGGTCCCGGCCGGGGAAAGAACGTAAATATTGCCTGGCCATCTCAGGGTATGGGAGATGGCGAGTATCTGGCGGCTTTTCAGAAGATTGTCATGCCAATTGCTCACGAGTTTAACCCAGACATGGTTATCATCTCTGCTGGTTTCGATGCGGCTGATGGTGATGAGTTAGGCGGATGTTTCGTCACGCCCCCTTGCTACGCTCATATGACACACATGTTAATGTCCTTGGCCGGCGGAAAGGTAGCCGTCTGCCTTGAGGGAGGCTATAACTTGAAAGCGATTTCTCACTCGGCTCTAGCCGTTGCCCGCACACTGATGGGAGAGCCGCCGCCTAAAATGGACATACCTCCTATTAATAGGGAGGCTGCGAAGCTACTGGTTAAGGTCCAGGCAGCTCAAGCCCCTTACTGGGAATGTATGAGGCCGGGCATAATTGACGTCAGGGAATTAGGTGACAAGGCGTCTCGTCTGCATGATGTCATCCGCGGATACCAACGACAAGTACTATCCGAGAAGTATTCTATGATTCCCCTCTTCATCCAACGAGAGGTCCTCTATAAATCATTTGAGAATCAAGTTCTCGTCACACCGGGGCTAGAAGCAAAGACAAGAGTTATTTTCATTATTCATGATCCGTAAGCATGACCTATAGGGCTCCTGTTGTTTCTCTACTAACAGATTAACAAGTCCCGAACTAAAGGTGATGCCTGATCTTGTGGACAATACAGTTGATCCTCACAACGGTTTCATAGTGAGCAATTCCAGGCTATTTTATGAAGACAAGTACTGATCAGTAACAGATGGATGGCGTCCTATCCTACATTGACTGGGCACATAAGAACCACTTCGGTATCGTTGATGTTAATATCCCGCATTATATAACTCACACCGAGGACTTGGATGCGTATACCCCTCGTGCAGATGAAAAGACGTTGCAACGGCAGATCCAGGAGCTAGTATGCTATATCTGGGACAACTACCTCCAGCTCTACGATTGGGATCAACTGTTCTTAGTAGGCGTGGGCAATGCATACTTGGGGGTCAAGGTCCTCTTGACGAATCGAGGTATGTATATCTCATAACGTATTATGCGAGCTACAGTACTAATATGGCGACAGATTGCAAGGATCGAATCACAGGCGTCATCAACTTCGTAACAGGAAACCTGCGGCCAGTCAAGTCTGAGACGGATACGGAGTTATCGAGTTGGTATAAGCAAAACTCCCTCGTATACGTGACTAACGACCATGCTTGCTGGGGGGACGCTGATCTAGCGAAGAAAGTACTGAAGAAGCGGTTTGGAGGCGTGCAAAGGAGCCCTCAAGTCGGGCTAAACCGTATGATGGAAGCACACGCAACGGAGGTGTATCAATTCATTCGTGATAAAGTTGAGCAAGCTCAAAGCGGCAATACCACAGAGGAAGAGAAATGAGCTTGAAGAAGATGTCAGTTTCTAAGGATATTAGAGCAAACGGTTGTATATACCAGAAGTGTAAGCCTAAGGTTGGTATAGGGGCATATATCTGCCTCGAAGAGGGAGTGTATGCGCTTCGATGCCTCGACGGCTTGGCTTTTCGACGCATCAATGTATCGCTGTGTCGAAGAATCGGGCAACGATGCCGGAGGTCTCTCTTCTGAAGCCCCATCTCATATTTGACGCTTGACCGTAACGAGTTTGAGTCTTAATCTTCATGAAATCGTCTTCCTATCTCATGCGTAAACTATATAATCTCACTCTGGGTGATGAACTAGTTTCTTCTTCTCTTTTCTTTTTACAAGAAATGTAAACAAACTTTCCTTCATCACATTCATTCGCAAATCTTTCGCATTTCTTGCATTTCTTCCACCACACACTTCCTTCATTCACTCATTCACAACCACGTCTTTACTTACCTACACACATCCCTATTTTTAGGGGTGAATTAACTAGACCCTAAATACGCTAACGCACACGCTAATCACGCGCTAAGACACACGCTAGCACTAGCGCTAGCGCTAAGGCTAAGGCTCAGCGGGAGCGGTGATAGGCGCATCATACTTCCGTTATCGCGGGCATATCACTGGGCAAGATGTTCTTAAACCGGGGCAGCGGTTCTTATCGGAACCAGCCTGCGCGTCCAGAGTATGTATCGAACTACAGGAAATGGCATCCTCGCGATATCACTCCTCAATCTGAATCTGAATCTGAACTTTCTCAATCTCAATCTCCATCACCTCGAACTTCTCCATCCCTTTCTCCTCGAGCTTCTCAACCAACTTCTGTCACTACTCAATCACTCACAGAAGTAAGCCTCGAGACCGAGTCTCCTAGCCCTTCGGAGACAGAGGTGAAGCTTGAGAATTCTCCTAACTCCGATCTACAAATCATTCCTCTCTCTGACGCTGCTCCGGAAAATACAACCGAACGCGAAGAAAATCCAGAGTCAGGACCAGGTGAAATCCTACAGCCCCCCAACCGTTTCCGTCCCTTTTTCCTTGGACAAGCTCGCGAAGATCGTATCGAACTCGTATTACGACCTCGTCACAATCGCGCCTTCGACTACCTAGAGCACGATTTTAACTACCGCCATTTCAGAGCTGGTGACACTGACAGTGGCTACACAATGGATCGCGATGCGCGAAGTAGAAGGTAAGTATCCTGCTTCATCCCACCCCAGCGCTTCTATGATGATTGCGAGGACATGGCAACTGGTAGCTTTTTGGCGCCAATTCCATCCTATCCTCACGTCTAAGAAGCTGCGAAATCCAATCCGAGTAAACAAAAATTAACCAATTTTTTTTATTAGGTACGATGACGGTGAAGTCACTAGGTATGGCGCGGGGGAGTCGTATCGGCCCTTCAACTCGAATCGCTCTCCACGACGGGCTAGAAGCCCTCCTCGAGGACGCTCTCCGCCGATCCTAGACAGCGATCGCTACGTTCCTGGCCGATCTCCTCGACGCCGTTCACGTAGCACGGACCGGTACCGCCGAGATCCTTCCAGAGACAGACGAGACGTTAGAGACGCCAGAGACTTGGGAGGTGACAGCTGGAGACGACGCGATAGGAGCCGTAGTCTTCGTAGAAGCCCTCCCCGACGCTCGTCGCCTCGACGCAGCCCACCTCGACGTAGCAGCCCACGCCGATTTTCTCCAAGACGGGATGATAGAGATCGAATGCGATCTCCTCGAAGGGACTATGGCACAAGGTTCAACCAACCATTTCAGCTTAACAACCCTTACGACCCTTACAACCCTTACAATCCTTACGACCCTTCCTACTCTGCCAACCCTATGAACCCCGTCAATCCTGATTACACCAATCCTAATTACATTCCCCTAACCAATTCTCCGTACAGACGCAGAACAAGATCTCCATACGAGAGAGATCGCGGTCGAGACCGATCCCCCCGTCGTTCACCCCCTCCTATTCAGCGAGCTAGCACGTACCGAACTCGCTCTCGTAGCGCCGACCGTCGAGATGATCGTTTTGGTTCGTATAGTAGACGTCCTTCTTTACCTCGTGACTCGGCTATTTCTTCGGCGATTCCGTCTCGAGACACATCCCGTCGATCTTCACCTCATCCTCTCCCACTTCGTCGCGACGATCGCTCACATCCAGAGTCACCTCTGCCCTCGCGACCTTTGTCTCGATCCTCTCATGGAGTCCCGACCAGAGACAGAAGCCCTCAGGGTACGCCGAAGGAGCAACAGGCTCCCTTGCGATCTCCTCCTCGCGGCCCCGCCGCTCTTCGAGCACCGCCGACCGGACCGAGAGACAATCGCACGTTCGGAAGCCAATCTGGTGGAGTGATAGGACCACCTCCCAGACCGTCTTCAATCGTCCCTTCAGCATCCGGTCGGCCCGACATCAGTCCTGGTGGTCCGCCTTCAGGTCCCCGAGGATATGTCCCATCTCGCGGAGGAGGTTATGGTCGCGGTGGTCGAGGAGGACCTAGCTGGGGTAGCACGATCCAGAGCCGTAACCTGCCACCTACTACAGGTCCCGCTTCGGCATCAGCAACGTCAGGCTCGAGCACTATACCCACAGGCCCTCGCGCGGGCTCCGTGTCGCAGTCAGTCCCTTCGACTCCGGTTAACCAATCGAAGCCGTTTAACCCTCCTAAGGGCCCGGCCGCCGAGAGCAACCGACCCAGCCTAGCGCAGCAGCTTTTGTCGACGGTTTCACCCATCGTACCGGGTGGCAAGATGGACACGCAGCATCTCGCAATGTCCCTAGGTGTGCTTCCTGAGCTCGTGCCCCACACGTTGGCGCTCAAGGAGGAAGAAGAAAAGCTGCGAGCGGAGAAGTACGTGAAAGAGGAAAAGCTCCGCAAGAATCTGGCCCTTTGGGAAAAGTACGAGCGTGAAGCTAAGGTCCTCGATCTCCGACTCGAGCTCAGCGAGAATATGGTGAAGAAGTTTGCGGGAGAGGGTACCGGTGGTGCCTTCTAAGGTATACGTTTACCTTACCTATTATTAAGTGAAGAGAGAGAGGGTGAGAGGGAGGGTTGGAGGGAAAATGCGGGCGTGCCCGCCTTATAATTGTATCAAGGACCTAAAGAAGTCCTGGTGGAGGGTTTTAACCCGAGGGAGTTGCGGAAAGGTGAAGGTTATTGGCCATCAGAGTTCTATTGACTGATCCCTTTGGGTGTGGTGAGTGCGGTGGCATTAGCACTCTTCGCAGAGGAAGGGATCTTGTCCCAGTCTTACGTCCACGAAAAGTTGGAATTCCCTAGCATTGCATCGGCGGCATAGTACGTACGGAAGGTTGTTGTTCTCTGGCAACAACAGGCACAGGAAAGCACGGAGTTTTTGGCATTGGCATTTTGTTGTCCTTGCCCAACGTTGGTTCGGTTTGGTTTGGTGCGGGCGATCGTCTCTCACGACGGATCTATTAACTCTTGTACCACCATCACCACTACTACCACCACCACTTTTGGCCTTTTGGCCGTGTCGGAAATTATTCCCCCCAAAAAGAAAGTCACTGCACCCTTCTTCTGCCCTACGGGTGGAAAAAAAGATGATCACATCAACTTTGCATCATACGCCTCGTTGCTGTACCTAGAGGCTTGATCCCCCTATACCCCACTGCCCCCTATTCCACATCACCCATGATACCTGATAAATCGAAGAAATGAGAATTTCGGTTTACCCCAACTGACTGACTGTTTCTTCGCTCGCGTGAATGAATTGGTGATTAATTAATATAGGAGAATTAATTTCTCTCTATATGTAGATGCCGCTTGTTGTATTGGAGGATTTGAATAATGTACATTGTAGGATAACTAGACGAGGTGAGTTATTATTGTACATCGATATCTCGCATAACTCGAGTATCAGAGTGAAAGCAGGTAAGTTTTCATAGAGCGGAGCTATATACAATGCCTAGTCTACGTTCTCAACCTCGATACCTTCTTCCCCTTTCGCCTAGCCTTTATTCTCACCCTCCTCTTTACCCTCATCACCCTTCCCCTCTTCTTCCCAAGCGGCCCAAACGCCCCAAAAGAACCCCTATCCCACGACCCCGCCAACCCCAAAATCTCGCGATCCGCCTTGCGATAGCGAACCTCGTACTCGATCCACTCATCAAGACCAGGGATCTGGATCCCCAGGGTCGGCAACGCAAGGAGCTTCATCTTCGAACTATCGGGTACGCGCGGGTGTTCGCTTTGATCTCTCCTCTCCCCCTCCTGCGCGACGCCACGGTCGGCGCCGCGCCCGTCGTCGCCCGCCCCGCCGCCCTTGACGTACTCCCACGCGATCGGGTCCGGGTACCCGCGGCGAGGGGCGACGTCGCGCATCGGCCGCGACAGGTCCAGGTCCTCTTCTAGGTAGAGGCCGGGGAGCGTGTACCGAACTTTGCCCGGGGCGTAGCGCTTTAGGCGGGCGTCGAGGAGGGCGCGCGTGGTTGGGGAGAGTAAGGCGCGGAATGGTTTTGAGTGCGCGGCGAGGAAGGGCTGCACGATTACTCGGTACGGAAACCGGTGCTCTGCGTGGCACCAGTATCGCCCGTCCCAGAGCATCCACTGCGCGCGCGACGATTGGAGGAAGGTCGGCGTGTGGTTTATCATGGCCCAGTACGGCGTGCGGACGCGTGGCACGGGCTGCGTGGACGGGTAATGCGCGCGCGAGAGGTGCCAGGTCAGCTGCTGCATGTGTCGCTCATTGCTAGCGTTCGCGGCGGAGGCGGCGGCGGAGCTCCCCTGGGGGAACTCGGGCGTGATAGGAGCGAGGAGGACGCCGCATAAGCTGAAGGCTTTGGGCTCGCCCGCCTGCGCGGCGTTTCCCGGGTCGGCGAGAGATGGGAAAAGCCGCCAGACGTGGTTCTCGAGGGTTGGGATATGCGGCGCCTGCTTTTCCGGGCTCACGAGCATGAGGATCTTGCGCAGGACGATCGCGGCGATCTCTCTTCGTCGCGATAGGCGCGCTTTGCGGCGTAGCGGGGATCGCGAGTCCCGCCTCGTTATGGCGGATTCGTATTTCGGAAATTGGACTATCGCGGTCCCGGCGTGTAGTTCGAAGTCGTGGATGATGGTTTGGCGCAACAGCCTATCGGCCTCGGCCTCCAGCGCTTGAACCCTCCGCTCGCACCGCTTCGAAAGAGCCAAAATAGACGGCTTCTGGAGGGCCTTGGGGAGGGTGTAGCCCTTATATAGCTTTCTAACGGCGTTTCTCATCGTGAGGGTAGCGTCTTGGTTAGTAGAATCTTCCCACCACGGAACATTGTTCTCTAGACAAGTCGCGACGAGCCGGTCTTTGCTGAACTCCAGCAGGGGCCTGTACACCATAACACCGCCATCTTCGATGCGGATGTCGTTAGGTTCGATCGACGCGTATTGCGTTTTGTGATAAAAATCTTCCAGCTCGACCTCTACCTCAGACTCAGACTCAGCCTCAGCCTCGGGGTCCTGGTTATCCATAGAACGGAAGTCGGCTTTGATGGCCTCGCGCAAATGCTTGCGAACCTTGGCCGACGGCGTGTCCCTGTAGAAGGGCCACTCGCTCATCTGATCATCCACATAACCACTTTGATGGACACCAAACATGCCGTCGCATTCGGGGATATCGTGAGCTTTCTTCATGCCGCGCAGGCCGCGACTGCCGTGTCCCTGCAACAGGCGCATGAGGACGGTCTCGTATTGATCATCCTCGTGGTGCGCAAGGAAGAGGCTGGCGAGTTTACGATAACCGCACATATATCCGAGCCTCTCGTAGCGAAGCGCACGTGCGACACTCTCAAAATTAGGCAGTTCCTTGGGGTGGCTGTAATTGCCCAAAACCCTGGACCAGTTAATCTGGATCACATCCGCCAGGAATCCCATGTCTTGGAGAGTCTTGCACACGGCATTGGCTTCTTCGAAAGACCCCTCCCGGAGCCGGTGGTCGACGACCATGCCCCGGAACCCGCTCACCGGGTTATCGGAGACCTGGAATTTGGGGGCGAACTTACGGACCCTGGAACAGAGAGAGGCTAGGGCCATGGAATCGACCCCGCCGCTTATGGCTAAGGCTACTCATGGCATTAGAACAGAACTTATAAAGAGAGAGGTTTTACGGGAGACTACTCACCAACTCGCCTAGGCTGCGTGCTCCCCTGGTGGGTGAAGCGAGGGGGGCAGGTGGCGCGCACGGCGTCCACAAACTCGGACAGGCCAATTGGCCTGGCACCGGTATGTAGAACATGATGGAGCGTTCCCATTCCATTCTATGCTACTACAACTAATCCCCGACTACGAAGACCAAAGTTGTTACGCTCTTGGTAGAAACATAAAAAGAATCTATTATAGAATCCCCTGTTAGAGAAAAAGTTACTGAATAATTCTTATCGATAGAGCTATCGATAACCGCGAGTTCCCAAGACCGGGATGGGAAGGATCGAGGGGTCCTCCCGCTCCTAGCACCGGTTTTAGCTAGCTACGCCGTTAAAGTGATAATTTCCAAGGAATTATTTCTTAACAAACGAAATATATCCATAACTCACTCCCTCCTGTCCCTCCCAACATGACCTAGACCGATGGACCTTCCGTCTCGAGTCCGCTCCCGGCTACAGCCTTCCAGCTGATATCTCTACCTCACATCACACAATTGTAGAAATCAGGTAGAAAATTCAACCTCCTAACGACCATCTACCTCGCCACCAACAGCTCCTCGAAACCACCCAACAATCCCCCCTTCCGAAATCGCAACCGCCGCAATCCCACCACCAACCTTCCCAACCGCCCCATCGCAATCGCAATTCGCTCATCGCAACCGCAAATGACCCCCCAACCCCCGCAGCCGCCTTTCGCGACGGCGCTCCTCGCGGGCGGCATAGCCGGGACCACGGTCGACCTCTCCCTCTTCCCCCTCGACACGCTGAAGACGCGGCTACAATCGCACGCGGGCTTCTTCCCCTCCGGCGGCTTCCGCGGCATATACCGGGGCGTCGGGTCCGCGCTCGTCGGGTCCGCGCCCGGCGCCGCCTTCTTCTTCTGCACGTACGAGGGCGTCAAGGGTGTTCTCGCCTCGCGACGGTTGCGGAGAGAAGCTAGGGAGGAGGCTGCGAGGGGGAAGGCGGGTGGATTGAAACTGGATCCTATACACGGCGATGTTAGCGGGAACGGGATAATACGGGGACTAGGCAGCTGGGAAGCGCCGCTGGAACACATGCTCGCGGCGTCGCTAGGCGAGGTAGCCGCGTGCGCGGTGCGCGTGCCGACCGAGGTCGTCAAGCAGCGCGCGCAAGCGGGCCTGCACGGCGGGTCGAGCGCCGCCGCGCTCACGGCCATCCTGACGCAGTTCCCGTCCATCGGCCTCGCGGGCGTGTGGCGCGAGCTGTACCGCGGCTGGGGCATCACGGTCATGCGCGAGGTGCCCTTCACCGTGATCCAGTTCCCGCTGTGGGAGGCGCTGAAGGGGTGGGGGCGGCGGCGGAAGAACGGAGGTGTGACTAGCAGTAGTAGTGCTGGGAACGCGGTGGAGGTGAGCGCGGGCGAGAGCGCGTTGTATGGGAGTGTGTCGGGGGCTGTGGCGGCGGGGATTACGACGCCGCTTGATGTGCTGAAGACTAGGGTCATGCTGTCGAAGGAGCGCGAGAAGGTGTTTACCGTGTTGACGGATCTGCTGCGGAATCACGGCATACGGCCATTCTTCGCGGGAATCGGGCCGAGGGTTATGTGGATTAGTGCTGGCGGCGCGATATTCCTCGGGAGTTACCAATGGGCTGTCAACGCCTTGCAAGGCAACATCATATAAAACGCGCTCACGAGTGACGAAGTGAAGATCAAGACGAAGAAGAAAAATGTACGGGGTTCGAGGCTAAGGGATAGCCCTCGTTTTGTATAACTCGGGGTATATACTCGGAGCCATAATTTAACATGGCTGTTTGGGATGGGGAGAGAGATGAGGAGTATGTACAACAGACGATAGAATACCCCGATTTTTAGAATCACCAAGCATAGACAATTAATGGATGATACCCCTCCTCCTGATCATGCAATTCCAACTTCTATTACAACTATATCAAGTTACAGTCGCTATTGGCGGTATCGTCGTCTGCGCTCCAGGATCCGAAACTACGGGGTCTTCGAGAGTCGGCTGGGGGAGTTCCTTTGGAATTTCCTTCCGGCCGTTTGCTTTATAACACAAAACAACGTCACTGCCTCCTTTCCAGATATGGGCCCGTAAGGTCGCAAGACTCATGGTGTTTGGTAGTAGCTGAATTAGGATGTTAGCAGATTGATCATGTTTTGATTTACGGTAGTACATACCTGTTCGTTACAATACAGCTCTAAATACTCTTCAGGCTTGAGAGCTCCAGGCTCAGGCTCTTCGGGCTGTGGGTCGATCCTTTCGGCAACGTAGCCTAGGATTTTCTTCACTCTCAGCATTCTATTTGCGTTAAGACGATTGTTTCCATCGGCCGTCGCAATGCTAGGCAACGAATCCTTCCATGGATGTAGCACGAACGAGACCTTTACAGGATCTTTTTGTGGAATCGTATTCTATCAGAGTTAGCTACCATCCAGTATAGTTGAGGGATAGGAGACATACCGTGAGTAAGACTTCGCCCAACCACATGGGAGCTTTCTCCTCGATGATATCCGCGTCGACACCGACACTCATCACCGTACCCCGGTATAAGTTGGCACTACCACCGGATGTCTCTTCCTGGATAATAACCTTCGTACCGGGCGGGAGTTTCAACACTGGAGCATCAATAGGTAGAGCCGGTGTTATCTTAGTCTCGACTAAATTATCGGGATTTTCGAGTAATTGCTTCTCGTAATCATTGTGTACCTTTTGTATTACGCCGCGGAAATTATCGTCAATTTCCTTTTCGTGATTTGATGACGACTCTGACTTGTTCTCCTCCGGCTTCTCCTCTGCGGTACTAGGCTTCTCGATACTCGTGGAGGCCGACCTTCCAAGCTTTTTGGTACCGAAAGACATACCCATTCGGAATTTCTTCCCAAAAGGCGTACTCGGAGACTTAGCAGTGTCCTTGTCTTTATCCTTCGTTTCCACTGGGGATTTTGGGATCTCTTCTTTAGTAGCTGTCTGGTCTGCTCCCGCTGTAGTCGTAGCTGATTTCGGAGGCGGGTCTGCCGAACTAATGCCACCAGAGAAATAGTCTTCGCCAGATGATCGAGGCAGTTGTTGCGAAGGTCGCTTCTCTAGAGGGCTGTTAGTAGTAGCAGTTTTCTCGGGAACGCCCGGTAAATTAGGGGCTGGGGTAGCGACGCCTATTGCCAGTCCCGGAGTCATGGGGAAATTGGCACCATTGGCCCTCGGCGTTGCTACCGGAGAATCGCTAGATTCATATCCTTGAGCGTCGGGAGAAGGCATCATTATCGTGGTTGGTGGGTTGAGTCGGGTAGCAGCATGACGTCTCTCCACAGCCTCATTAAGTTTCAGTCTGTGGGCTTCATCCCGTTTAATTTCTTCGTCGATCAACTTAGCAAACAAATATCGAAGAATCCATCGGCCAAGGTTTACTATATTGCAATCAGATTTATTTCTTGTTGTAGGTATTTGATGGGTCATACTTCTCTGGTCTTCCCGAAATTCGACGGGTTCTGGCAAAATCAACTCGTCCGCGTACATCTCAGCGTCAAAGCAATTAAATGGTTCCAGCACAACAGTCAGGTTTCCAGAACTTGTGTCAATTGAACACCAAGGTGCAACAGCTTCCAAAGTGTTCACTTCAGGCTCAACGTCTTCAAGGTGCTTTTTTCCAAATCTCTGGATAACTTCGCACTACGCCAAATTAGCTAAGTCGTGTCCAGACATCTCACAAGGTAATACTTACTCTTATAAGGTCCCATAGCAATACATCACCCGCGGTATCCAGTGTCAGGACACGCCGTCGATCGTTGAGGAGTTTATGCTTAACCAACCCGTTCTGGCCTTCGATCGTCTCTTCCGGTAAGTGATGTATGGGCTCGATGACAGGAACTATAGGATCAACCATGAGTTCTGAGCCCTTCCTAGGCAGCGCGCCGGGAGTTAAATTGGATTCGGAAGAACCGTTAAGCTCGGGCGGGAACGCGGCGGTGTTCGATATCCGCAATATGGACTTTGCTGGGATTTCATTCTTCCCCGATCCTTCGACGGAAGCTGCAGATGGCTTTCTCGATCTCGAGACTGGACTACTCGCACGCAAATGTCTGAAGGCCTCCGGGAGTTGGGCGTCAGGACCGGTTTCGACGTTCGTCCACCTGTTGATAGAAGAGCTTGATGTGGCAGTCCATATGTAATCACCACAAGCCACTACCTTATTGACACCATCATGCTCCTGAGCCACGGCGACAGATAAGCCCTCGTCCATTTCCACTGTTCCCCGAGTGTCCGTCTTTACGATCAGGCCAGACCGATCGCTGCTGTAGAAGACGGCCAAGTCTGGGTCCTCAGAAAAGAGCGACCAGACACTGTCGTTATGCATGGTGAGCGTGTACATGCATCTTCCAGCGGTAACGCTCCACACTTTGACAGTCTGGTCGGAACTGGCCGTCATAACAGTATCGCCAGCCTCGTTCATCATTATCGCGCGGATATTGTCAGTATGACCGACCAGTTTGGTTATTCTCTTGCCCGACTTAGGATCCCATAACCGTACAATTGACTCCGGACCTCCACTTGCCAAGATGTTTCGGCCAACACTCATAGCGTATACCGAAGCTTTCTCGCTGACGTCCTCGCCTCGAACATCGATCTCTAGGGATTTCCCCTTGCCATTAAGGTCCCACAGGTATATCTTCCGATCCAGTCCACCTGAAGCGACCCAATCGGCAGAGTTCGGTGTCGCGACACACTTGACATAGTCGGCATGCTGGCCGATGGTATGGGGCTCGGTGTCCCCCAATTCGGGTCGCCATACTTTCACGGTCAAGTCGGAGGATGCAGAAACGAGAGCGGTATTATTAGCAGCGAGTACGATATCGTTGACCCAGTGGGTGTGGGCTTGTGTCGATGCGCGGAACTTGGTGGTCGGTCGGGGTTTTGCGCCTCGGCTAGCCACGCGTTCGGGATCGTGACTATTCAAATCGAGATTTAGGTCCCAGGCACATATGACACCATCTCTACCTCCAGAATAGCTGTGCGACAACGTCAGCGGTCGGAATGAGGGCGGGATGGATCCACATTATAGCCGTCGGGAACTTACAGAATAGCATTGTCTCGGTCGACGGCAAGGCCATTAACGCCGAGTCTATGGCCGCCGCACGACGAATGATCTAATTCAAGAACTAGAAAGCGACCGGATTGTTAGGATATCATTGAAGTATACATCGCATCATCACTCGTTGTGCCATATCACCCCAATTACCCCGACAATTCTTGGTGGATAAGTTGACATCCAACCAGCCAACCAATCTATCAACTAGGCGGGGGCGGGCGCGAAGATCGATGGATATAGGGGACTTTTCGGGGCTAGATAGGGGACTAGATTAAGTGAAACGGGATATTAATAGAAAATGGAAATGACGAACCATAGCTTATCCTTTGACGTGCCTTTTTGGCCATAGTAAGATCGAGAAATAGTCATGTGCGTAGACAGGCGTGTAGAAAAGATTGAGATTGTCTCGGTAGAATGCAACCTTGGAGAGTTCAGATGGACGCAATAGCAATCAATAGCAATCGCTGGAACAGTAGAGCTCCATGTGGGAAGCTACATGGAAAACGTGGGGAAAGCAGGATAATGCATGTATATAACACCCCTTAAACGGGAAAGAGGGAAAGACTTTAGCGAGATCCCGAGCTATCCCGATCCCAGGGGCTCGGTTCGTGGTCCATCCGATACCACCATAACCGCCTTATTAGAATAAGATTTCGCCTTACTAAAATATTACAGGTCATATTAAAGCAAACTGTAAATACCTACCTAGGTAAACATCTTCAAACATCAATCGGTATCCAATCCTGTTCGTATATCCTCACAAGCTCGAAGCATTTGGAAATGTTCAGGTCGGACTCTCAGGTCTCTGTGCTTCCAAATTGGAACAATCATGATATGAAATAGGCGGATGTGGGCGACGCCACCTACGTGTGCTTCAATCGACGCAATCAGAGGTTAGAAAACTTTCAAAGTCCGGAGAGCCTCGTGGTAAAAACGGCAAAGGTGTGTTCCCGCTTGAATAAGTTTGGTCGCCGCAAAGGTGATTCTAAACGAATTCCACCGTCAATCAGTTTGCTTCCTACTTCCCCTTTTAATGTGAGCTACTAATATGTGAACAAGTCTAAAGTGACTGGATAACACGGAGCCGTCAGGTTATCCATTGTAAGAAACTCGGAAATTTCAGTTACACACCGAAGACTTTTTTGAATCACAGATCTGTACTGATGTTTTCATTCAGTCATGAGTAAGCTTTGTATAGGAAAAGCTAAGCTATCTTCGAGAATTGGAAATTCCATCCCTTTCCCGCCGGATATCCATCCCTAAAGATCAAACGCCATCCTTTCCCTTATCTGGCCAGTGTCCTTTACAAATCTCCATGCGATATCCCAGATGTCAGGACTTCTAGCAGATATCCCTAAAGTTTCCAGTCCTGAGAAGAGAGTACCTTAGAGGGACGTTTTTCGAAATTGATCCAGCATGGCTAAGGAATCGCGTACGCGCTCGATTCCTTCTCCGCCTGGGGATGGGCTGGTAGCGGGTTGGCCTGTGTTTTTGTGTGAGTAGGAGCTCGATCGACTGCCCATCCGCCACCAAACCCTCTTACCTGAAGGCGCAGATGACTTCGGCTCCACAGGAGGGGTAGACGTGGTAGAAGTAGCGGTGGTAGAAGTGGTAGTAGTGGTGGTGTTGGTAGAGTTGGTGGTCGCCGCTGCCGCTTTTGCCATTCTCTCCTCTCTTGCACACACCGGGCACTTTGTGCTAAGGGGTCTCGTGGCCATCTTCGTCTTGCACTCCGGCGGTCCGGGAGGTAGTTGGAGGGTCTTGTCCGGGAGAAACTTCGTTCGCTTTAGGGAAAGGTCATCATCGGGTGCGCATTGTCTGACGATGCTGCAGGGGAACGTGTTCTGGTAGACACGGTGGTTGCACCTCTGGAAGGTGTTCCAAACTTCGACACACATGGTCTAGAGATGTAACGCGAGTGCGGGAGAGGTAATGAAGTAGTACGACGGATGATTGCTGAAATTGCTGTACAGTTGCGACGATGTAATCTGCGAACCCGAAAAATCAAACGAGATGCGTTTTATTTGGTTGACGAGGTCGAGAAAAAAAGGCATCAGTGGAATATTAGACATCCAGCTTGGCGAGTTGTTGACAACTAATGTCAAATAATGTTAGTTTGGTAAACGGTGGGTTTTGGAAAGAAAAACGAAACAATGAAGTCGGCGTGAAGATTAAGTATACTGGGCTTTGAGGTAAGTAGCCAGAGTCAGCTATTGCTAACATCGTCAGTGTCATTGTCAGTTACGCACCCCCATTATTCACACTTTTCAGCAAACGAAGTTTAGAGAATTCCCCAACCAAAACAAGAGGACCTCCTAGATTATTCAGATGGAATAAAATAGGTACCTTATGACCACTCTGAATTTTTGTACCACGACAATCTGTAGTAAAAGGGACGGAATCTATATTAATATGAATAGGGGTAATTTGGTACCTCGTGCTGTGGAACGTCCAGGGCATTACGTTCAACGGTCAAGTGCAAGGCTATTCTTTTCAACATTGCATGGCTTCCTTTGATACTAAGCTATGAACCGTCCCATTGACAAACAGGATACATGATTTGTTACATATGACAATAGCACCAAGACCGCCCATCTTGTGGCTGCTCATAACATGTTTGCTCTGCTATGAGCACAGTGTATCCCATATAGAATATGGATGGAACCAACCCTCATGGCTTAACTTCTTTTTGAAAAGAAAAATTCATCTGATATTTTGAGGGCTTGCGTGACGTCTAGATCCATGGATGTCAACTCAAAATTTATCTATAGCATCGCCATCTACTTTTTGGGTGGTACCTACGGAATACATGTATGCTAAGCGAACTTGTGTAAGAAGGAAGCTCCAACGGGCTCATCTAGCCCCTTTACCGTGGACGAGATTCCGCAAGCGCGGCCAGCTGCCACTTCGAAAACCACATGTCAAATACTCCATGTCTGGTTGATATTTTTATTTAAAAATAAACCTAGATAGTTGTTCATACTTAAGGAAACGCACCAACACCGAACATATGCAAGTGAATCTCCATAACGCCGTAATCCCATCTCGAAAACGACTTCAGTCAACGAACGCGAGGGTATTCTCATAATCCAGCAGCCCCAGCACACCGTATTATCTCCCATTATTCATGATACCAATTCCCTTTTTCAAGGGTTAGGTATTCACACACACATCCCACAAACACACACACTCGCCCATTATTCCCTCCCAATAACAGCATCCATATTCCCCATAAGCGCATGAACCCTTACCGTCGACCCAGGCCCGCCAGGCCCCTTCTGCGCCTCCACCTTCGACCCAGGCCACCCGCCAACCGACCTAACAACCCTAACATCCTTGCCCCTAACCTTAAGCTGGCCCGCCGTAGTCTCCGCATACAAATCGCCCTCCCACGCCTGCGGGTACCTGAGCCCGATATTCCCACTCGTCGATTTATGCAGCGCCTGCAAGCAATCCAGCGGCCTTCCCGCGTTTACCACAGCCGTGCCGTTCGAGTCGAACCAGAGTGGCTCGAGAACGCGGACCGCGGTCGTCCCACTCGTCGTCGCGGTCTCGAGCTGCGCGGGCTGGATAGCGGACACGCGATCCGCGCGCATGACGGGCAAGAGGTCCAAAGCGACGTCGCTAGCCGTACTCTTGATCTCGACGCCGGCGCCGAACGCGAACGCGCCGCGGATCCCGCCCGATGTGGATTTCACGTCGACTAGGTAGTCTCGAAGCGGTATGCCACCTCCCCCACCCGCCGTCCCCGCCGCCATGTGGACGGGCTCGGTGGCCCTAACGGCGCCCGAGATCGAGCTTAGCGATAGCACGCCCGGTTTCGGATCCGACGCGAGCTCGGCTTGCGGGGTGATCGAGACCCCGATGTCGCCGGACGTCGTGTGCAGACCGAGCATATCGTACAGGGGCCAGTTGCCGTCGATGCGGCCGGACGTCGTAGTTACTTCGATCACGCGCGAGTCGAATACGTATGTGTCTCTCACAGGCACGTATGTGAAGTCCGGCGCCATCTGCGCGAAGTGCGCAGAATTGTTGTTGTACGAGAGAGGCCTATCTGCGCCGGAGCTAATACTCCCGATCACGGAGTCGAGCCGGGAGTAGTCCACGACGCGCAGCGCGAGGTCGTCGAGCAGCAGGATGTCGAGGTGCACGGCGCTCAGGCTCAGCACGCCTAGCGCCGCGTCCCGGGGCACCCAGAGCGTCGCGCGGATCTCGACGCACGGCCAGTTGCGCGGGTCGGGCACGTCGTATTTCTTCGGCACGCTGACCTTCAGCGCTTGCGCTTCCGCGTCGGCGTACACGTCGAGCAGGATGTCTTTGTCGTTCGTCGCGATCTCCAGCACGAGACGCGGGCTGCCGCCGCCGCTGTCTAGGCGGCGCACGTTGATCTGCCCGGCGACGCGCACTTGGCTTGTCCCGGAGTGCGCGTGCTGGTCTTCTATGAATGTGACGTTGCGGTTACTTCCGAAGTCGAGGGCCAGGACTTGGTCCTCGAAGCGGTACTGCGCGTTTTCGCAGTACGTCGGCGCGAAAGGGGCTGCGACTCCAGGCATATCCGTTCCGGGCTCCGTTACGGGTTCCTTGGCCGAATCTGGTGGGTTCTGCTTGATGGGCTGCGCTCCAATAGTTTTTCTCTGGATGGGCATGTCAGCGATAAAATCCCGACCGTGGCTTATATAAAAAAAGAAAGGTGTAGCTAAGGTGAGCTTCTTACATGATCGTCTTCTACTTTAAATATTCTTAGGGAGCCGGCTAGAAACCCGATGGAAACGACCAGTACAATCAGAGCTAGAGTACAGACCCGGCAGTTGAGCCACGTAGGCAGTCGCCTTCGGGCTGTTTTCATCCAATGTGACGAATATCCAGCTTCGACGTCTTGGGGTTGGCCCATACTCTCGGGACCTCTCCCGAGTAGCCTTTCATTCTCGACAACATCCGATACACCCATGGCAGAGGTGATTGTATTATAATTCCTTGATTGCGTTTGCTGATTAATAGGTGCAACCGGAGATGGCTCAGGCGAGTACGCCGGCGGAGCGTCTGAATATATAGAAGGAGTCCTGCTTCTTGTTGTGTATGATCGGGTATGTATGTGGGACGCTAACAATGGCGAGTACGTATGCGCAGACGTGGGATTGTGTTGTCTTTGGCTCGATGTGACCGGAGTACCAGCGCGCTGCTCTGATAGACTGATGAACTCTTCGTTGTTGCCTAGTCCAATAGGAGGGTGAAAGCAGTATTCTCTAGTCCTCTGAGTGTTCGATCGGATTCTTTCCTCCTTCGGCCTCTGAGCTGGAGCTGGAGCTGGAGCTGGAGCTGGAGCTTTCGATTCAGAACCTGACTCTGACGTTTGCTGTAGTGTGGGGTCGGGGACGATTATGTTTGGCACGTTTGGTATTTCACGGGACGAGGAGGACGAGGAGGCGAAATAGCCATCCAAGGGCGATAGCTGATCGGCATAATTCTCGCCATCTGATTCCGAACCGTCGTCCCTCGAGTACATGTTGTCGGAGTGAGGGTGAGGCATGGTTTCAATTAGTTGAAACACTCTTGGCAGGACAAGTGAAACTATCGCCAAGCCCGTTTTTGGTACAACTCGAAACGATCGCGTGTGTCTTACCGCAACGACGCCAAGTAATGATCAATTGATTTATTAATAGCTTAGGTACGTTAAGATATTGAGCTACGATAGATACAGCGTGACTCTATCTCGAGAGAAGTGATGTGAGGGGGTGCCACGGACCGTGGTGGTTTTGATCGGGGTAGGGCTATTCACTATCAATATCGCATCATCCGTTTATTTGTCTGCCTAAATCGAACTCCGATAGATACTATCAGTGCGGCTCTTGCCCGAATGTAGTCAAGGAGGTTGCGTAAGCCCTATCTATGGTTTCTGCATATTGCTCGTACATTATTCCTCAATTGAGCCGCAGGGCAATGCGGTGTGATGGTCAATAAGAAGGCTACGTCGGTGGCTAACTTGCTTGAAGCTGCGGAAAAGGGAAGCTGGATAATCTAGCTGCTGAAGCTTCATTGGCTCGACGAGCTTGAGCTGACTTGCTTTCCCGCATACCTAGGCGAGCTTAGCTAGGTGTATTACTCCATTCGGCAATATGCCGACTACTATATGAGCTTCCCCGGCTTTCCATTCCATGTGGCACAGCGAAGTCCTACGTCTTTCCCCCGCTTTTCGAGATATTGCGGCGTCTTGGTGGTACGTCAGATGTTGATTTCCAAGCGATATCCGGATTACATATTCGCATAGTCATGGGTAGGTATGATTGGGCAAAGGGAACCCAGCCCTATCTCCGGACCTAGGCAGAAGCTATACAGACCCACGCCCACGAGGTTTGGACACTTCCCGAGGTATATGGATCTCGTAAGAAACACACCTAAGTAGATACGGTTTCGATATGACGACAGTCCGGCCAGTCTCCCGGCGAATTGAATCGGGAGCGATAGCGTCGATGTTTCCGGTAGCCTCACCCCGGACTTTACCAGCCCTAAGACGTCTAGCGCGAGGATGGAAGCAAGCGGCTCTGCGACTAGATAGCCGACCGTCTTTGCTGATAGCGGCCGGGTCTTGCGCCGTCGCTTGGCCTATGATCTAACCCGGTGCCGGAATTAGATGCTGACAACACTCCGGATGACCCAACTCCGCGGTATCATGACGGTGTAAGCTTAGGATAATTATTAAGCCTCTATATGGCGAGTCATTAAGAGCTTTCATGGCTGCTCGGTAAGCGGAGGCCGGCGGCATCCTTGCCTCGGCATGTAGATTACCAATACCTAGGGGAAATTATTCAACATAAGCTATAAACACTACTTTAGAGTGACGCTTGTCATGCCACGGAGTTCTGTTTAGGCGCCACCGCACCCGCACCCGCAAACGAGGCCCGGGGTATAGCTTCTCGTTACCCAGGTATGCATGGAGTCATGTACTTGAGGGAAGTCTGCGATACTTCTGGATTGTATCAGCACATCCACGATGTATCTACCGTAAAGTACCTACATAGGTACCTATGCAGGGACCTTGAGTCTCCGCGGCGTGTCTAACGTAAGAATGATATCCCTAGCTTTTTTGTCAAAAACACGTTGTTTCGCGTCAGTATGACAGCTGTCAAGCATCAAAAGTTTATTGATATTCTGTAATGAAGCACTGTACCTCTTGTTCTAGTAAGCCCCTTTCCCTGAAGGCCATGTGTCGTGGCCTGAGGGAAGATCTAATGTGATGTATTGATGTGATGTACCACAACATGATATTCGCAGCTCGCTTACATCCACTTCAATGCTAGTTTGCGATATTCCTTGCATCTGAGGCCCGTGGATAGTGCGGGTTGGTGCGGGAATCGTTATGATGGAGGCGGTTAGGTTACCAGCATCATGGATAATAGGGGCTGTTTAGCAAGTCACATCCATGTAACCAGCTTTCTTCCTGGCACAGCACAACACAAAGAGACTTGGAGAGATGGATAAGATCATCATACTATTACTGTCACTTACATTTGGAATTGCAACAGATGGAATTCTCATTTGGTGTTTTCGACGCCACAAATATCGTATACAATTTGCCGTGCTGCATTGTTGCCCCCCCCCTATAGTAAAATTTATTCCGTCAGTAGGCAACTTATAGCGACGAAAGACTCAATGAAGGTCAATGAATCAAGCTTCTCGCATGCGAAGTATCCTGCCATATATGTGCTTAGTGTAAGCATACATGAGAGATATGTTGTATACCAAGTTGTGCAAGAGTCAATCTCGATTCAAGCCGTTATAATGCCGGATGCTAATTTCCCCAGGGTGTCATCTGGAGTTTTACCACCCACGACTATGTCGATACGAATAGGCGCGTCTTAGGGAGGTATCCGTGCGGACATTGTGGACAAAATCACACCTTCCGTCAGAAGTTAGCACCTCGAGGGCGTCTTGCTTGGTCCTGCTAACACATAGTCTTTCAGGGCGAGTAAGAACCGTTATCTAGAAGCATATACTACCTAGAGCTATCTGATCACGCTATGCCTCTATTTACCGGAGAAGCTCAGGTTCCCTGTTATCATGATTGATGGATATTCTAGACCTCGTCTGGCCTTGTTGAGGGGTCTTAGCATGAGCCAAGCATCGATGTTTATTCGTCGGTAACAACACCTGTTTCTCGTTTGTGACTCGAATTCCTGGATTTAAATTAGGCTCAAACGGAAGTATGATTATTTCCGTCCAGCACACGTGTTTGATGTCAGTATTTGTGGAAAAGGGGTAGTCTAAGTATTCCAGACATTATTCAGCTACATACTCGCCTAAGCCAAGGGATGGCCTCGGGGAAGAGTGACAAGCTAGCGACGAGGCTTAGTGTACGAGCTCGGACTACCCAGGTAGTTTCAATAGGTGATAACTTTTATTGGGATTTGCCTTCGGGATTTTGCCCGCGGCTACGGCGTGGGGTATGGTCGAAGAAGCCGATATACGCGCCCCCATCGGCAAATGCCATACACCAAATTTCCTATCCCTTGGTAGATAAAAAACAAACATATCGTGCCACAGATGTCACTCTCATTGGACTGCCCTGAAGCCTTCGTGATTTAGATATCACAACGAGCGCCTGAAAATCTTGGCCTTTATGCGGTTACTTGCCGACGTGTTTCCACATGCGAGATTATTTCGAAGGGGGGGGCGCGGTATCGTCCGCATACTAGTGTTCTCACGGCCTGTGAATATATCAATATGATGCCCGAAGAGCGGGCTAGAGGCCTAGGCCCCGTACGATAGCTCACGTACCCATTATCGTGGTCACCCTAGAGTAGACGCCGGGATATACCCAACCACTCGTAACGTACGCCGTAGCGGTAAAAGGCATTCGTGGCTTACTATCAGCATAGGGCGTAACTCAATGTTTCCTTTGTAAATCTCATGGAACTTTTGACCCCATATTCCATGCCATGGCTCCGAGATCAATTTCTAACCGCCTCCTTATTCTCAACAATTCACAAGAACAGTCTACAAATCGTGAACAGGTAACGCATGGACGACTGCGAAGCAACCTTATGCGCTGCGGGATAGTTAATCATATATTGATTGTAGAGTAAGGCTCTCTACCGAAGCTTCTTCATGTTTTCTTTGCTTTGATGCCCGGAAATTCCCTGAGAAGCGATGTAACTAGAAGTAACACAACGAAGGCTACTAGCTTTCCCTGGCTCCCAGAGGCATTATTATACGATGTACATGAACTAAGAGTGATGTACCGTACTCTTTTGTGTCCTGTCGCTGTACTTCTTCATTGACCCTTCACAACCGACTTGCTAAAGTAGTGGCAAATCGAGTAAGCAATCTTCAAGAGTGTATAAGGGAGCTAGTAGTAACGCCAACGTCCAACTCCACTACTGTAAATAGCAAAGTTGGATCTGAGATGCATTTGTAATGCTCTAATAAATTCAGTCTCCAGACCGGTAATCGATGTATGTAGTGAGATGCTCGTCAAGTGACTCCTAGCGGTTGCTATAAGGGGATACGCCCCTGTACTAGTGACGTTGCCAGACCTGTGGCTGATCTCATCAGCGACGTTAGGAGGCTCAACGTCTACCCATGTAGGTAATTTCCAAGGCCGTAGCTCACTCGCTATAGACGAGGCATTAGCAATTTCATACCATAGTAAGCATCTAAACTACTATACCTATATCGGCGCCGAGCTGTCGGTGAGACAATGCCTGTTAGTTCGTGGGCTCTCACATTGGTAACCAGATCGCAATGAATTGTATTAAAAAAAAGCTCTACAAGATAGTAGGTACTCATCGGTCTTGGATCTTATACTTTCGTTAAGTAGTCTTCGCTTCTCCGATAAGACAAGCGGCTGTATTTGCCAAGCATTGTATATAAACAAGTTGTCATACGCGAGAAGTATCCTTCGGGTATTATAGTATTGCCATACCTTCTTCAGGGGACAGACCCCAATTGAACGGATTGATTTACAATGATCACCAAACATACAGAACCTTGAATGGAATAACCCCTATAGGACAGTACTGATCTTATTAGATGGTCCCGGCCTAATACATGTTGAATATACATCACTTTATGAGCTCATGTGGGTTCTCACACCTTGGCTATTTGGAGAGAAACAAAACAGAAGTATCAAATTTAACTACTCGTAGGCATAGTTTACATTATGCGAAGATGTCAATTGCCTCTTTAGGCTACAGGAGTCGACAATAGATCGGACGAAATCTTGGATCGATCTTGTAGTTGGGTCTCGGCGATTTGTTGGCAGTATTTATTTGCATGTTGGTGGATATGGTATTGGAAAAAGGAAGCCCATCGTCTTATTCAGGTCCCAGGCTAGCCGAACATCCGGATTTTCCTGGCTTAGGGTCGGGTTTTCTTTTTTGACTTGCCTTTCTAGTACATTAGAATCACCACCTACCAGGAAACTAGTGGAGATTGAGGCTCTGGTAAGGCCTTTTTCAACGACATCGAACCATGTATGTAGGTAGTTATAACAAACATCAACAGACATATGCGCCAATCGGAATCGGTAGCTATAGTCTGGGACCAGGTCACATTGATGAGCGCATTAATGAGAGCCAAGCTGCGAGTAGGTAAGCCTAGAAGACGAGAGTGTTGTTCTCTCTTGCCTCTTTAGGCAGCTATCAAAGGTCCTCTCCATCCACGCCAGCGCTACGCCAGCATATACGAGTAGTTTGTTTAGTTGAGAGGGCGGAGCCGTTTACCGTGAGGCTCTGCCAAGGACGGTGTAAAGATTTCTGTCTTTGGTAAATCTTGCCGTTAGCAAGAAAGGGTTTGGAATTGTAATATATTCTTATCTCCAGGTACCTTGGCGAAACTGCACGATGTAATAACTTGTAATTCTTCAGGAGGGGTTCGGCATTAGGGGTCGAGAAGCCACGCAAAATTCCGCTAATAGTAAATAGGATCAGATATTGATTTACGTCCAATAGGGTCGCTGCCACTTTCTGCATATTTCTTTTCATGTGACATAACCGCTGTGAGGGGTTAGGACT